GAGAAAGGGGGGAGCCCATTGGGGTGCCCTCAGTTTGTTTGTAGAAAGTTCCATTCCAAGTGAAGTATGTATTGGTTAAACAGTGTCTCACCAGGGGGGGTACCTCAGTGTTTAGTCCTTGATGAACCAAGTCTTCAATGATTGCAATGGTGTCAGGTACAGGAACCTTGGTGAATAAGGAAACTACATCAAAACTGACAAGCAGGTCGTCTGGGGACAGGGAAATACCCTTGATTGTTGATACCAGGTGAGTAGAATTTTGTACCGCAGAGGTGGTCTTTCCAGTGAAAGGACGCAGGATTTCAGACAAAAAACGAGCTAGTTTGTAGGTGGGGGAGCTGATAGTAGAAACTATGGGACGAAGAGGTGTATCAACTTTATGTATTTTTGGTAAGCCGTATAATCTTGGTGGCCTGGCAGCAGAAGGTTTCAACGAAAACTGTTTAGATTGATCAATTAATGCGGTTGAATCAGAAATTATTTTGTTGGTTTGTGTGACGAGGCTGTTGGTGGGATCTCTTTTTATTTTTGTATAACTACCATCGTCGAGTAATTCTTTAATTTTGTTGTTGTATTCTATTTTATCCATGATAACAGTAGCATTGCCTTTGTCAGCTGAGAGAACTACAATATCATTCCTCTTTTTTAATTTATATAATTCAAAACGCTCATCTTTGCTGAGGTTGCTAGCTGGCATCTTAGCGTTTTTGAGGGTTGCAGCGATTTCAGATCTTGCTACGTCTGCAGCGATGTGACCCAGGCCCCTGAGAGCAACGTCTACTTGGGCAATTATATCATTAACTGGTATGTGTTTAGGTGTGACTGCTCAGCTGATCGAGTCTCTCACCTTCCTGAAGAGATGCCGCGACTCTGGGGTAATACCAATCGCATTTACACTCACCTCTGCTACTGTAACTTCTTCTAATGCGAAACGAATTCTTTTCAAAACTAGCTTAGCTCTTATCTCAGAAAAAATCAGACTTATACGCACAGAACTAGATCAGTTAGACAAGACACTCTACAAATCACACTTATCATTGACGGCAATAATGTCCACATCGGATTGGGAACATGTAGACAATATGACTGCCTCTTCAGCTGCTACTATGTCGACCAAATGTAAGGAAAACCTGATTTCCAAATTTAACCTCCTCTTAAACAAAAGACCGGACCCACACACCAAAAAGTTAGACGTTAATAAAGTCGTAATTAATCGCAGTAACAGTTCTATTTCCGATGGTCTGAAATCCGTTT